TGTATGTGTATATAGGTACAATATGCATGTGCGTGCATTCCTGCATGAGTGTGTATGTGTATATAGGTACATATGCATGTGCGTGCATTCCTGGCATGCGTGTGTATGTGTATATAGGTACATATGCATGTTGCGTGCATTCCTGCATGCGTGTGTATGTGTATATAGAGGTACATATGGCAATGTGCGTTGCATTCGCTGCATGCGTGGTGTAGTATATATAGGTACAGATATGCATGTGCGATACATTCCTGCATGCATGTGTGTGTATGCTCATTGCTGCTCAGCAGTTAATTATATCTATGTATTACAAGAATACGAAGAAAGTGAATGATGATCGGCAGTAATACATTTCAGTCGACTACTGCAGGCACGATACAGAAGCATGGTGAAGCTACGAGGCGTAGCATTCACGTCGTAACTTAGATCCGCAGCTGAGCAGTTTCAGTACAATGTTTTGGCTGGTAAGTAAAAGCTGAATCACAGCTTACTATATATAGGTGTGCACATTTAATACTCACATAGTGTAGACTGCTATAACGAAAATGAATTATTTTTCTAACAATTAGGAATTTGCATTGGTAGTTTTTAAAAAAAGAATATATTTACTCATAGTTTATACCAAGAAATTATGCTGAAGCTATTTCTTGTATATTTTTGAGGGTACATTCTCTTAACCACAGCCATTGATTAGTATAACGTTTTACACATGCAGCACTACTTGTGCCCTTGTTCTTTTTGTGTAGATATAAGAGAGCTGATACACCTTTGATGATGTAGTGGAAGATGAGGATCTACACTTGACCTAATGGTGGTCTTGTATTTTGTATGGAGTAAGTTTAATTTCCTGTGTCTCAGCTGTTATGTCACGACATAACCAGCGCCAGCCATATTTAATAATAATAAAAATTATTTATGTCTCTCGAGCTTCACAACATATGAGATACTCTGTTTCTCTGTATTCCAAAATCTTGCGCATTGCATGTACATTTGCACTTTGTTTTTGTCAAGGTATTTTCCACGAGATTTGATTGGCTTCAAGAACAGCTGGGGAGATGGAGATGATGACTATTTCTCTTTGACTCCCGGGTAAGTATTGGTTGGCGCTTTCTAGAGCTATAGCAACATGTTAATAATTTAATGAATATGTCATAAAAATAAATACACAATTATTAAGAAATATAAGAAAGGTTTCCTTCGATGTTATTAGTGGAAATGTCATCTTTCTGAATTCGTCCGTTCTTGCACGTCTGTTGAGGACAGGTCAGATAGAATTGTACACGCACCTGCCCGTCATGAAGGCAGCCGTCGAACTGCCTACAGAGTTGGGATTTCCGTGTCTGCAGCGTCTTCTGTTAGATGCCCAGTTTCTCGTGCAGTTACAAAGCTAATCCCGCAATAAGCCCTCGATCGGGATCGTTCAAGTCAAGCACCGCGCCCGCAGTAAGCCCCCCTCACGGGCCCCCTCCATTCCCTCCACTCTTTGCCCTCCACTTGTCTGCAAGACCTCGCAATAGGGGGTAGGGGTCCGGGTAGGACTCTTTCATTGTGTATGCAATAGGGGGTGGGATATTTTCATTGTGTATGCCATACACCCATTGACAGTTTAACACTGCGCATGCGCTTAGTCTAAGGTCAAAGGTCGGGAGGAGTTTCCGTCCCAGAAAGCGCGAGTAAAATGCGCGAACAATGGCGTTAACGTGTAGTGTGAAGGGCTGCTCAAACGGATCGTATTGGCTTAAGAAAGACTTTTAGAGCATGCATTGACCATAATTTCAATGTATCAAGTGTCATGTCACTCAGGTCATCCATTATCGGTGCTCTATTCCCTGCTACATGCACTGTTCTTCGACACAAAGGTGAGCGACCTGCGTATGCAAGGCAGATAACGCATCGAGATAAACAATATGGCGGAGTTTACTCGCACATCCGGGCTCTCGCGGAGATGCGTAACTAATGGCGCAGAACACAGGCGCAGAACTGTCAATGGGTGTATAGGGGGTGGTATATTCTTCAATTGTGTCTGCAATAGGGGGTAGGGTTTTCCAATGTGCAGTTCGCACTAGGGGGCCTATTATTTTTAGTGAGAACGCACATGGGGTAATACCGGCATATATAGTGACCCCCCCCGGGGGTGTTGTCATACATAGACTCATAGTCATACTAGTCATAGCTGATACTGATAGGTGTGAGTCACACTGACACTGTGACTGAGACAGTGACAGTGTGTATGTGGACGTGAGTGCGTATGACAAACAAACTGTTAGCGATGACAAGCACAGTCAATTGCGTCGAAGAGCGAGTCTAAGCGAAACAATGTAACAATTACTCAGATAGACATTTTTTGTACTTACTGGCATTGTGATCTCTTTTGATAACAAATATTAACAAATCTCTCCGAAACACAACACCCTTCCTGTACAGTAGTGCCCTCTAACGCGAAACGGCACGAAAATCTGTGAAAGAGGGCAGCACCGTACTGTCTTGCTGAGAGGCAAGGAGCTAGACGCAGTGACTATGTTGTAAATGTCGTGGTGTAAATAATGTTCGTTCAGTTGCGACACGCTGTTGGCGCGTGTTTGAACTTTGAGCATGATCGATGTATTTCTGTAGTCTTTTATTTATAATTCACGGTAGAATATGCGTTATGCCCAGTTAGTAATCGGGCCTGCTGGCAGCGGAAAGGTAAATAAGTGCTAGCTCTACTACTTTTACTGTTTTAGTACTACTCAGCCTCTACTCTCTACTAGTACTAGTACTACTACTAGTACTACTACTAGTACTAGTACTACTACTAGTACTACTACTACTACTAGTACTACTACTACTACTAGTACTACTACTACTAGTACTACTACTAGTACTACTACTAGTACTAGTACTACTACTAGTACTACTACTACTACTAGTACTACTACTACTACTAGTAGTAGTACTACTAGTACTAGTACCTTCGGCAACTGTACGCGGGCTATAGTACTAGAGTAGAGCTAAATAAGTGCATGCAAGAGACTTCGTGCAAGAGCAACTCATTTGTTTTCATTCGCTCCTGATCACTTGCACTGGCAACTGCAGCTCAAAGGGTCGTTGTCGTAACAGGTACTACAGATATGTACCCGAGGTACATATCTGTATACACAAATGTACCTGACCAATGTTGTTTCTACTAAAGCCGTTACCGCCCCTGCCGCTTCCATTTACGTACCTCGGCGGGAAGTATCGTGAAGTCGCGTGGTATTGTCGTAAAAGCCGAAATCGCGTCCAGCCTCACCGTGGTGTTGCTATCCCCGGGCGTAGAGAGGACGGTCACGTGATACAGTTGACGTATACTTCAAATGATTACTAATACGGTAACGATAACTCCAACACTCCAACGCGGAAATCTTACACTAAATATATATATCTCGTAGCGCTTTATATAGGCGGTGTGATCCACAAAAATTAATCTATGGTGTGGGGACAGATATCACTGATGCAAAAACTCTAACCCTAACCCTAACCCTAACCCTAACACGTAACCCTAACCCTAACCCTAACCCTACACCTCTAATCCTAATCCTAATCCTAACCCTAACCATAACCTAATACTAATACTAATACGAATAATATTAATCCTAATACTAGTGCTGCCATCGGTGCGGCGTCCTCCACGCCCGGGGGATAGCAACACCCGCCGTTCGCGCCATGTGAATATATTCCCGCGAGGTACGTAAATGGAGCGCAGCGGTACGGTTATGTAGAAAACACATTGGTCAGGTACATTTGTGTATACAGATATGTACCTCGGGTACATATCTGTTAGTACCTGTTACGACAACGACCCTTCGTGCGCAACTGCAACGTGCAAGGGACCAGGAAAGAAGGGACTAAAGGGTTACAGAGCATGCACTGATGGCAGAGCATACACACAGAGAGCTAGTACATGCGAGAGCATGCAAGTACGGCAAATACTTATAGTACAGTAAAACTCACATAAGTCGCCATCGCCTAACTCGTCAATTCGCATAAGTCGTCATGGAAATCAAAGTCCCAATTTTCTCTAATGATAAATCCATTAGAATATAGCCCCGCCTTAAGTCGTCATTTACAAGTCGTCATTATGTACAAGTCGTCGCCCTCAGACATGCAGGTCCCATGTAATACAAACAACAGTAAAAAATCCTATCTGTAAGTCGTCATCAGAAATGCGGATGGCACAGTGTATGCAGCCCAATGTACAGCGAATGTACATGCGTGCCAATTGCAGCTTTTTTTCTCAATTCAAGAAAGAGTTTTGCTGTCGCTCCCTCATACCAGCGGTGCCCACCCCCCCTACATATTCAGTATAATGAACATGTATGCCCCATGCTACTGAAACAATCAGTGCACTCCCCTCACCCCCACCCACCCGTACTTGCTGTCCCAGCCACAGGCACGTGCGCAGCACGATGTGCATCGCCTCAGATAGCGGTGTAGCCGGCTGCTTTGTAAGTCATCAAAATGACGATATACACGCATAAGTCATAATTTTGACAACTTACACATAAATCGACGAAATGACGACTTACGCGATAATCGTCATTTTCGTAAGTCGTCACAAAAATGCTGGTCTCAAAAGTGCCGACTTATGCGAGTTTTACTGTACTAGCATGACTTGTGAATATAGAACGGAACTCACTCAGGCAGACTTGAGGAAACTGTACTACAAACACTGTGAATGTGCATAACCCTGCAACCTTCTTACAAAATCACTTGCTATATCGCACTTGACGCAGCTATAGACGTGTATGTGTATTTGTGTGTGCATGTATATACATGTATATATATATGTATACTGTATACGTGCGTGTGCATGTATTCCTGCATGCGTGTGTATGTGTATATAGGTACATATATATGCATGTGCGATGCATTCCTGCATGCGTGCGTATGTGTATATAGTACATATGCATGTGGCGTGCATTCCTGCATGCGTGCGTATGTGTATTATAGGTAAATATGCATGTGCCGTACATTCCTGCATGCCGTGCGTGTATGTGTATATAGGTACATATGCATGTGCGTGCATTCCTGCATGAGGTGTGTAGTGTATATAGGTACATATGCATGTGTGTGCATTCCTGCGATGCGTGTGTATGTGGTATATAACGGTACATATGCATGTGCGTGCATTCCTGCATGCGTGTGTATGTGTATATAGGTACATATGCATGTGCGTGCATTCCTGCATGCGTGTGTATGTGTATATAGGTACATATGCATGTGCGTGCATTCCTGCATGCGTGTGTATGTGTATATAGGTACATATGCATGTGCGTGCATTCCTGCATGCGTGTGTATGTGTATATAGAGGTACATATGCATGTGCGTGCATTCCTGCATGCGTGTGTATGTATATATAGGTACATATGCATGTGCGTACATTCCTGCATGCATGTGTGTGTATGCTCATTGTGCTCAGCAGTTAATTATATCTATGTATTAGCAAGAATACGAAGAAAGTGAATGATGATCGGCAGTAATACATTTCAGTCGACTTACTGCAGCACGATACAGAAGCATGGTGAAGCTACGAGGCGTAGCATTCACGTCGTTAACTTAGATCCCGCAGCTGAGCAGTTTCAGTACAATGTTTTGGCTGGTAAGTAAAAGCTGAATCACAGCTTACTATATATAGGTGTGCACATTTAATACTCACATAGTGTAGACTGCTATAACGAAAATGAATTATTTTTCTAACAATTAGGAATTTGCATTGGTAGTTTTTAAATAAAAGAATATATTTACTCATAGTTTATACCAAGAAATTATGCTGAAGCTATTTCTGTGTATATTTTTGATGGGTACATTCTCCTAACCACAGCCATTGATTAGTATAACGTTTTACACATGCAGCACTACTTGTGCCCTTGTTCTTTTTTGTAGATATAAGAGAGCTGATACACCTTGATGATGTAGTGGAAGATGAGGATCTACACTTTGGACCTAATGGTGGTCTTGTATTTTGTATGGAGTAAGTTTAATTTCCTGTGTCTCAGCTGTTATGTCACGACATACCAGCGGCAGCCATATTTAATAATAATAAAAATTATTTATGTCTCTCGAGCTTTCACAACATATGAGATACTCTGTTTCTCTGTATTCCAAAATCTTGCGCATTGCATGTACATTTGCACTTTGTTTTTGTCAAGGTATTTTGCACAGAATTTTGATTGGCTTCAAGAACAGCTGGGAGATGGAGATGATGACTATATTCTCTTTGACTGCCCGGGTAAGTATTGGTTGGCCTTTCCTAGAGCTATAGCAACATGTAAATTAATTAATGAATATGTCATAAAATAAATACACAATTATTAAGAAATATAAGAAAGGTTTCCTTCGATGTTATTAGTGGAAATGTCATCTTTCTGAATTCGTCCGTTCTTGCACGTCTGTTGAGGACAGGTCAGATAGAATTGTACACGCACCTGCCCGTCATGAGGCAGCTCGTCGACTGCCTACAGAGTTGGGATTTCCGTGTCTGCAGCGTCTTCCTGTTAGATGCCCAGTTTCTCGTGCAGACGAGCAAGTACTTCTCCGGCGTGCTGGTGGCACTGTCGACGATGGTGAACCTGGAATTACCGCACATTAATGTGCTCAGCAAGGTCGACCTGCTGTCAAAGTCCACGAAGCAAGAACTTGAGAAGTAGGCGTGCGACTAGCTCTACCTTTGCTCCCTGCGCTCCCTGCGCTACCTGCGCTCCCTGCGCTACCTGCGCTCCCTGCGGCCCCTTCGCTTCTGCTACACGAGGGAACGGCCCTTCATGTGGCAGGAGCGTAGCGGATACACGAGTAGAGCTAGCGTGCGGCCATCTGTTTAGCTGTACACGTAGCTGTCACACGTAGGGTGTACTTGGTCTGGGTAGCAAGTAGGCATGATAACTGTGTGGATTTATATTGCTGACATAATATAGTTTGTCTGTTGTGCTTGTTATTTGTAATGGGGATATAAGAATAAAACTTTACGTGTTTAATGAGAACTGGAAACTTACACCACCCAAAATAGATCAAGAATTGCATTTCGTACTGGGTACTAAAGTAAAATAAGCACATGTGATAAGTCCATTTTGTTGAAAAACTAAGTAGATTATTTTCGTGAATGAATTTTGATGTGATATTGTTTACTGTGTAGATATTTAGATCCAGATGTGAGTCAGCTCTTGGGAGTACATGAAGATGAGGATACACACTGGCACGAACGCTTCTACAAACTCAGTCGAGCCATTGCCAATCTGGTAAGTGAACCTGATAAAAGTCTCATGTCTTTCTCTTCCACTTTTTATCTGTGGGATACAAAAAGCTACCACACCATTCTTAGTGTGCTGTTAAGGTTTCAGTAAGTTAATCAACTTTGTATACCATTTTGATTGTACAGAGAAAATGTTAAGAATTACTGGTATATAAATAGTGTGTGATTTGTTTCAGCATGCCACAAGATGGCGCCACAAAGTTTTGATTTAATATGAAGGGTGTTGCACTTTTTCAGATAGAGGACTACAGTCTTGTGTCTTTTATCCCAATGAACGTTGCAGATGAAGACTCCATTGGTGATGTTCTATATGCAGTTGACAACACAATACAGTATGGGGAAGATCTAGAGCCAAAAGAGCCAAAGGTAAAATTAACAAGCTTGAAAAATTCAGTCATTTGTTTTATATATCTTCGCAGAGCTCTGTGCATAACATGGCAAATGAATAAGTCTAATGTTGTATGGCTTTTATAGGATGTTGGCGAAGAAGGTGATGAAGATGATCTTTAGGATTATATTGACGACTAGCAAAAGAAAAGAAGGAATTTTAAATACCATGTACAAATGATTTCCTACACCATATACCACCTATATCATAATTAATTACAAATATATGGTGTCTGATGATCATGCTACTTACTAATATGATGGAAAATAAACAGTTCTATTACATTTTAGTATAAACATGAAGTTTATGTTATCTTCAGTAATAATATTATATATATGCAAGTCTGTCTAGATTCTCTATGCCCTCCCAGAAAATTTTGAAATATTTAAGCCATTTTCCTGCAATCTGAGGCATACTGTGGGCCATATTCTCATGTCTGATGACACTATCTCAACCCTAGACTCAACCCTACAAGTTAGGATTCAAAACACTTTTCATGACTTTTCAGAGAGCGTACACAGTTAGGTTACTATAGTAATAATACATGTATTAAAACACAGGTAAGAATTGCAATTTCTCACAATTTCACGTGTTTTTGTATGTTTGCAACCATACTTTTTGGCTATTCTTTTTTTTCTCTTTTTTTTTTGAATCTCAGGGGGGATATTATTTGTACAGGCCATCCCCCTTCCTTCAAGAGCGGGGGGATGCACCTCCCCTCGGGATTTACGCCCCTGGTATGAGTGAATACCCTGAAACCCGATGTCTTGCATTTTTAGAAACCAAAAATAATTTTTTTTTGCTAATGTCAAGACTCATGCAAAAGAAGATTAACTAGTCACGATGACCGTCCTGATTCATGCCAAGTATTAAGTTTACAAGTTGAAATAAAATAAATTTAAAGATATCACTCCTACAGTATGTTTTGGGGCAGTGGCGTTGTTGGGGGGGGAGTGGTGATTCATATATGTTGATCAGTTTAAAAAAAAGAATTGTTCTACTAAAAAGAGAATTGTCGTAGTCAGAATGAAGGCTGTACATGTACTCAAAGGTGCCGCAAATACCATCTCCTGCGATCTACATTTTCAAAATTTTCTGGGGGAGTACCCTTATAAGTTATGCCCCCCACCTGTTTTTCACCCCCTTCTTGGAATCCTAGACCCGCCACTAAACAATTACATATCTTGGGAGTTAAGTCGATCATCCACTATTTTGCGCAGTTTGCTGTTTTTTGCCCCCCTTTGTTAGAAAATCCTGGCTACGCCACTGTTTTTGGGTGTTTTCTGATCATATTATTATGTGATTGAAAATAGGAGATTTGGGGATATTTTTTGGTACAACCAGAAATTGTTGCGGACAACCTGATTTGATGCCTGGGTTCAGGACCACATTTTTTTTCTTATTTCGAGCACTGCGTTATATAAAATTTTGCAGTTCATTGTATTTGATTTTGTTTTGGAAAATATATCCGTAGAGCATGATACAAAAGGGTAATGTATTGTCCTTGCCATATAAATATATATGGACATTAATAACTAATGCCTAACTAGTATATATAATTTCTATGGTCCTAGTGAATGATGGGCTGGAATAAGTAACAATTCCTCCCGCAACGTGTCGCTAAGCCGTCCAGAGATGTTCATTTGTTAAGATACCAGCTTCATTACAAGATGTCGTTTTTCGCATGGTGATGTGTTATCATCGATCGCTGTTTAACCTAAAAAAATCGAATACTGCAATAGAATAATGCCAAAAGGGGACAAGCAGACGACGCGTTATAGTGATAGCACGGCAGGGGTCTATGACGCGCAGAGTGTATCACAGCTGAAACAGGTATTGAAAGAAAGAGGTTTAAAAACTACAGGAAGAAAAGCAGAACTGGTAAGTCACAGTGAGTGTTAAACCATAGAATATAGTAATACTAATATACTAATACTAATAGTACTAATAATAGTAATACAACACATAGCTCTAGTACTATAGCCCGCTTACATTAACTGCCGCTGGCCAAAGAATGTGCAAATTTATCTTTTGAGGTTAGACTCGTTGCTAGTATTAGTAATAGTATTACTATTAGTATTACTGGACATCATCTATCCTTGAACCGTCCAGTGGACTGTATCAAAGATGGAGAGAGACAAATTTGGTTAAATAGACAGATCAACACCGTGGATCGCAGTGGAATCTAGATACTGCGCTGCTATAGGGCCGCAAATTTCAATGATGGGTATAGGCTCATGTTAGGATCAGGGTTATCATTAGTTCTTTCCGACGAATCATCATTCAAAATTGACTTTGACCTTACTCATGCGTTCACACCAGATAGAGTCACACATGTATGCGCACACAGATACTACAGCGTATCTTTTCTGGGTAACAGCCAAAATGCAGACTACGGTCTGTTTATAGTTCACACAAGTTCCAGTGACACGTGTTGGCATGCACATGATTACTAGATCTCCGTGTGGACATTTTAAGTCTTGCGTGCAGTAGTGTGGAGTGTGATCTGATCCAGTGGTCTTATATGTTGCTAGAATCATACTATTTATGATGCTCCATTCACTGGTAAGATGAATAAGCCTATATGTAGTTTATGCTGCAGATGTGTACATGTTTCCAGTAATTGAAACATCCAACTTCCACTAGGAAATATATGCATGCAAATAGTCACACAAAAACTTATAGCTGCGTTGGATAAATCCAATCTAACATACACTTGTTTCAGTACATTAATCCATGCAGCACATGAGTCGTGCAATCCTGGACAACGTAAACGACTTTACACTTGCCCGTTCCCAACCTCCACGACATATGGCGCTCTTGCTCAATTCACCACTGCCACAAGTAGATTTCCGTTACAATTTGTAACGCTTTTTTACTACAAGTTTTACAGCAGCCACGTTACTCGTATCCTATGTAATAAGATTAGGACTAATAAGAGTTGCAAAGGTATTAAAAATCTCACCGTTATTTCATGAAAAATTTGATAAAATAGTGATACGAAATAGTACGCGGATTGTGTGCCCAGTTACCTCTTTCAAATCATACGCTGTTTACGAATCTCCATTTGCTGGATTTCCCCGGAGCTCCGCCCACTTTAAAAATAGTGCTAGCATTGTGGCAGTGGTATCCTGAGTCTACGAAGGCCCACTGCATGCAGTTTGGCTCGTTCCACCACAAATCCAATACTGGCTGCTTTTAACTGTGGGTAATCAGTGATGTCTGGCCAGCAAAGATAGTATCAGTTACAAATGTTGCACTGTGAAGATACATGTACAGACAGACATGCTCACATGCACGCATGTGCACCCAGACAATGTTCTGCTATAAATATGGACATGAGATGCACGTGTTAAGTTATGTACAACTGCTGTCAAAAGCTATGGCATATTTTTTACTTTTAACTTAATGGCTTGTTTGTTGTTATTTCAGGATAACAATTTACACTCCTTTGTTTAAACCAGTTGGTGATTTCTTCTATGGGATTTTTTTCCCTGCACGTGCTATTTTCAATAGCTGTTCAAGTGTTGGGGCAGACTTAAATAGGTGCCCCTCACACTTTGGCATGCATGCTAAAATATACGACAAAGTTAAATTATTCGTTTATCTTTGTGTACATGTGTGTGTGTGTGTGCGTGCATGCGTGCGTGCACGCGTGTGAGCGTGTGCATGAGTATCATGTGTGTGTGTGTGCGTGTGTGTGTGTGTGAGTGTGCATGAGTATCATGTGTGTGTGTGTGTGTGTGTGTGTGCGTGTGTGTGTGTGCGCGTGTGTGTGTGTGTGCGCGTGTGTGTGTGTGAGTGTGGTGTGTGTGTGGTGTGTGTGTTGTGGTGGGTGTGTGTGTGGTGTGTGTGTGTGTGTGTGTGTGGTGTGTGTTGTGTGTGTGTGTGTGTGTGTGTGTGTGTGTGGTGTGTGTGTGTTGTGTGTGTGTGTGTGTGTGTGTTGTGCTGTTGTGTGGTGTTGTGTGTGTGGTGTGTGTGTGTTGTGTGTGTGTGTGTGTGTTGGTGTGTGTTGTGTGTGGTGTGTGTGGTGTTGTGTGCGTGTGTGTGGTGTGTGTGTTGTGTGTGGGTGGTGTGTGTGTGTGTGTGTGTGGTGGTGTGTGTGTGTGTTGTGTGTGTGTGTGTGTGTGTGTGTGTGTGTGTGTTGTGGTGTTGTGGTGTGTCGTGTGTGTGATGTGTGTGTGTGTGTGTGTGTGTGTGTGTGTGGTGGGGTGTGTGTTGTGTGTTGTGTGTGTGTGTGTGTTGTGTGTGTGTGGTGTGTGTGTGTGTGTGTGTGTGCTGTGGTGGTGTGTTGTGTTGTGTGTGTGTGTTGTGGTGTGTGTGTGTGTGTGTGTGTGGTGTTGGGTGTGTGTGTGTGTTGTGTGTGTGGGTGTGGTGTGTGTGTGTGTGTGTTGGTGTGTTGTGTGTGTGTGTTGTGGTGTGTGTGGTGTGTTGTGTGTGTGTGGTGTTGTGTGTGGTGTGTGTGGTGTGTGTGGTGTGTGTGTGTGTTGTGTGGTGTTGTGTTGTGTGTGTGTGGTGCGGTGTGTGTGTGTGTGTGTGAGTGTGCATTCATGAGTATCATCAAGAGTACATTTAATAGGAGTAATCTCTTATTATGTACTCTTGGTATTATGTGTGTGTGTGGGCATGTGGGTGTGCGTGTGTGCATGCGTATCATGTGTGTGTGTGTGTGTGCGTGTGTGCGTGAGTGTGAGTGTGTGCATGCGTATCATGTGTGTGTGTGCGCATGTGGGTGTGAGTGTGTGCATGAGTATCATGTGTGTGTGTGCGTGCGTGCGTGTGAGTGCGTGCATGCGAAACATGTGTGTGCTTCCTGGTGTGTGCAGTGGAAAAGCATTTGGCTTTGCCTCTCCTGTGTGCTCGAAACTGCGTGCATGATTATTACTATCAGTGACCGATGATTATTTCTAATCCCGTTCCAAAGGTACCAATGTGTTAGATCTCACCCATTGGTTCTTGCAGTTACAAAGGTTAAAACGCAGTGATAGTTCAAACCACTCGTTGAACCACAGAATGGAGACGGGAGAGGCAAGCAGCTCGCTCAAGCAACGTAAACAGAAAGCAGTGACTAATGGGTCGCCTCCAGGTTCACCCGCTACCCACCTTTCACCAGGTATAATGTCACTACCACTCAGCGATGAGCTTTACTTTAAGTATGTCACAACAAGCATAAATGTTTACTAATCTTGCTAAACTTTATTTAAAGAATGGTTTGGTTCTAACCTTGATCTTGCATTGTTTTTTTTTTCATTGCCGGTGCATGTAATTACATTGGAAAGCTTCGGTTGACTTTATGGCTAGGTTTACCAATTCAAAATGCGAAAAGGTTTGGTCCAGATCATGGCCATCATGAAATATTGCAATGCTGCCATTACTGCCAGTGTAAACTAACAAATGTTGCAGCAAAAATCCTCTGCCGTATAAGTGAGCTTTGGCTTAGAGACTTTAGAAACTTGTTTTCGCTAACTATTTTAATCCCCCTTGTCTCACCGCTGCCCTGTATATGGGCACCTCATCGTTCAATTGTGTTTGCCACTCACAGGCCATGTACACCGTAGCCGGTCAGCGTCACTAAGGTCAACAGAATTTGAGAGGAGAGAGAGGAAGGGCATTGTACTGTGGAGACGACCCCTCACCACATTGCACTATTTTGTGCTAGAGCTTCTCTGTGTCATACATGACTACGGAATTCGGTAGGGAGCCAGAAATCACAGCTTTGTCTCAGGGATATTGTAGCGATAATAATATAATTAATGTACCCCCCCAGTCCCTGCCTTCATTCCAGTTTTACAAATATAGGATTCCGGTGATGAACAAAATAGACTTCCTAAAGTACTGTATTTACATTTAGTACGTAACTTACATACAAATTTTCAGCCAATCCTTCATAATGATAGTTTTGTGATTCAGTTATTTTAAATGTTAAATCTCCCATGTGTGTGACCTTTGCCATGTACTGTGCACTTAACCACGGTGACCTACTCCTTATCGATAACATTAGTTATGGCGTTTGCTTTCAGGTTATGGCAAAACAGACTCACCGTACTTGTAATGCTGTTGTCATTGGCCAGCTTTTACGTTACCTATCACGTAGGAGGACCACATCAAAAGGTGAGTGTCCTCAATGCCAGCAGTTTTTTATGTTATCTACATTTATCATTCTTCTCACTCTGTCACCCAATGCAGTGATTTTACTACAATACAGACTACAATATTACCCTACACTAATGGTGCAGTAACTACAGAAAGAGTACAGCAATTGATCTTCTGTTTCCATTTGTAGACAATGAAACATTTTTGATGGTCGTGGGGTTTTTAGAAAGCCACTAAACACTTTTCAGACATTTAGGGAGTCTGTGAGGGATCATACCACTCATGAGTGTGAATGATCTCGGCATCATCTTCAAATTGCGATTGGCACAAGCACTGCTTCTAGTGTTCACTGCTTCTGTTTCAGTATGTGGAGTCAGTCAGGACAGTTTTCCTGTGGTCTGCGTATTGGCTGGGTCTAGGAGTACTCTCATCTGTAGGACTCGGGACCGGTCTTCATACTTTTCTCCTGTATTTGGTAGGTAAATATTGGGCATTTAGCAACGTCTCATCTGATCGTGGATGGTAAGATATGAGTGCGCACCACATCACTGCACTACGCTACATTGTAGCAACAGGTGGAATGTCCTTCCAACAAATCGTGTCAGTAGTAGGTCTATCCAGTGATGCAGAGGTTTGCCCTCCCCCCATGTGCTGCTAGTTAATGACGGGCATGAGAAGTAGGCAGGGACATTGTATACGTTTGTATACTATTGCGACTCGTATGTGAGTCTTTGTTGTTTAATCTTGTAAGGGGCACCATACATCATAGTGCTTGCTGTTTAATCCTGCTGGGGGCACCATACATCATAGTGCTTGTTGTTTAATGCAGCAGGGGGCACTATACATCATAGTGCTTGCTGTTTAATCCTGCTGGGGGCACCATACATCATAGTGCTTGTTGTTTAATGCAGCAGGGGGCACCATACATCATAGTGTTTGTTGTTTAATACAGCATGGGGCACCATACATCATAGTGCTTGTTGTTTAATGCAGCAGGGGGCACCATACATCATAGTGTTTGTTGTTTAATACAGCATGGGGCACCATACATCATAGTGCTTGTTGTTTAATACAGCATGGGGCACCATACATCATAGTGCTTGTTGTTTAATCTTGTAGGGGGCACCATACATCATAGTGCTTGTTTTGTTAAATAACAGCATGGGCACCATCACATCATAGTGCTTGTTGTTTTTTTTTTAAAACCACCGGCAGGCACCTACATCATACGTGTTTGTTGCGTTTACCATACAGCAATCGGCGGCCACCACACCCACTCACCTAGTGCCTCTGTGCTTTAACTTCTGCAGGGCACCAATACCATCATAGTGCGCTCTGCTGTTTAATCCTGCTGGGGCACCATACATCATAGTGCTTGTTGTTTAATACAGCATGGGCACCATACATAATAGTGCTTGTTGTCTTAATCTTGTAGGGGCACCATACATTCATAGTGCTTTGCTGTTTTAATCCCTGCCTGGGCACCATACATCCATCACGTGCGCTTGTTGTCTCATGCAACGCAGGGGCCACCATACTATCATCAGGCCGCTCCGTTCTACATCTCTCCCTGCTGCGGGATCACCATACCCATCATAGAAGACAATTATATTATAAATCATGACACAGGGGCACCATACATTCAATATGTTGTGTTTAAATACAGCATGGGCACCAATACATCAATAGTGCTTGTGTTTCAATACAGCATGGCGGGCAGCCATACCATCATAGTGTTTGTTTGTTTATCCTACAGGGGGCACATGCATCATAGTGGCTTGCTGTTTAATCCTGCTGGGCACCATACATCATATAGTGCTTGTTGTTTAATGCAGCAGGCACCATACATCATAGTGTTTTGTTGTTTAATACCAGCATGGGGTCACCAAATACATCATAGTGCTTGTTGTTAATGCAGCAGGGCACCATACATCATAGTGTTTGTTGTTTAATACATCATGGGCACCATACATCATAGTGGCTGTTTGTTTAATACAGCATGGGACCCCATACATCATAGTGTTTGTTGTTTAATGCCTAGCAGGGGCCCATACATTCATAGTGTTTCGTTGTTTAATCCTACAGGGGGCACGCAATACATCATAGTGCTTGTTGTTTAATCTGTAGGGTACTTCATAACATCAAGTGCTGTTGTGTTAATCTTGTAGGGGCACCATACCATCGAAAGTGCTTGTTGTTTAATATCAGCCATGGGCACATACATCATAGGCTGTTTGTTTAAATCGCTGGGCAGGGCATACCATACATCATAGTGTTTGCTTGTTAATCCTGCAGGGCTACCATAACCTCATAGTGTTTGTTGTTTAAATCTTGCTAGGGGGCACCATACATCATAGTGATTGTTGTTTAAAGTCCTGCAGGCACCAATTAAAACCATTCAAAGTGGCGTTGTTTAATCCCAGCCTGGGCACCATAGCATCAATAATGCTGTTGTTAATCCTGCAGGGGGCACCATACATCATAGTGTTTGTTGTTTAATCCTGCAGGGGGCACCATACATCATAGTGTTTGTTGTTTAATCCTGCAGGGGGCACCATACATCATAGTGCTTGTTCTGTAGTTCTGCGGGAGATGCTGCACGTTACATTGTTTGTGCGTTTCTCTTGTAGGGACCACACATTGCCGCCGTCACCCTCGCTGCCTATGAGTGCGAAACCGTCAAGTTTCCCGAACCGCCATATCCCGACGAGTGAGTACAGCGCCCTCTATTCTATTCACGTCGAGGCTGGGTCGTGGGTGGACGTTGTTTTCTGAAGGGCAGTGAATCACTGCAGTAGGGCCATTATGTTCCGTGTTTCCCCTGCATTGACACAAGCTAGGCGGGCCGCCTGCTTCAAATTCTCAGCCGTCACACAGAAATTTGTCCAAAACACCGCCTCGCTGACGAAAATCACTTGTTCTTCCATCAATAAAACCACTACTTTAACGAAACACAATGCAATAATCTCATACAATGTGTGCAGATAGCTTAGAATGCACCAAATTGCACCATTTTTTCACAAATTTTGACCCCCCCCCCCCCCCTAGCTGGGTGAGCACCTGTGGTACTCGCTTTGCTAGGACCTCGAAATGCGCAAAGACACCGAAAAAAATTTACCACCTCACAGACGTTTTCGGCGAAACACTGATGCTGATGATAACAAATCCATGTTGGTGTTGGTGGGAGAGCTGACATTCAAGTCTTATACAAAAAAATCGCTGATTGCTGATTCTGATCCGTGATTGCTGATTCTGATCCGTGATCGCTGATTCTGATCCGTGATCGCTGATTCTGATCCGTGATCGCTGATCTGATCGTGAAATCGCTGATTCTCGATCCAGTGATTCGCTGATTCTGATCCGTGATTTCTGATTCTGATCCGTGATCGCTGATTCTGATCCGTGATCGCTGATTCGGCTGGTTGCGACATCTGGAACTCGTAACTAAGCAACGACGGTTGCATCCAGCGAAAGCGCTAGCCTTTACTAATGACCCAAACACCGCGATCTTCCACATGTAATTTTAAAGTATATAATATATATATATCTGGGTTCTCCCCACGTTGCGCAAACGGGGTCGCGCGGCGCCCCGTTTTGGAAAAACTCCCACCCGTTTGATTCGTTGCGCCCCGTTAAATTACTCCGCCCCGTTTGGAAAATTCCACGAAAATATTTTGAAGGGCCGAAATCGATCGTCAAGAAGTAGCTATTCGACCCAGGTACCCCGGCGCATGTAATTTTAAAGTACCGACGCATGCACTGTAGACAATACCAACATTGGTCAACCTGTCCTTAACAGACTTTACTTACAGCGACTCGCTATATTCTTATATATACACGAACGCCCGCACAATACCGATCTATGTGTGGTGGCGATTTTACGCATTAATTAGTGTTACGGTAAAAAACACGCCCCCTAGTTCCCCCCCTCGCCCCCTCCCCTCCCCTCCCCCACTGTTTGAATTCATCCCTGGGGAGAACCCTGTATATATATACAATATATATATATATATATTATCTATATACTTATATACACAATATGTAGATATATATATATATAGTGTATATGAGTACATGGTCACGCGTGTGAGTACGTGTACGAGTGTCGAGGCATCGACGTCTTTCAGCATTATCTGCCCGGAAGGTGATGACGGCATGCTGGCAAGTGGGAAGCATGTTTCCATGTGGGCGATCATGAGCAAGGTGCGGCTGGAGGCCTTCATGTGGGTACGTACCTCTGCCACAGTGCGCTCTAATGCACCTCTCTACACCCACCACTGCAGGACGGTCATGGTCAGTGGCCAAGCGTGCCAGTCTTAAACTCGGCTGACTTTGTGCAGCCGTTGTAAACGGTTAAAATTTTTGTGCGGGTTAACGTATATTGGGTTCTCGAGTGACTCGAAGTGATTTTTCTCGATAAAATGAGCGCGTCTTTCACTCTTACATCAACGACCGAATAAGACAAGTCGCATTGCCGAGATGTTGGTTCAGTCGTGGTGTTAGTGCCGAACAATGGCTGTGGCTCTTTGTGGGCTTGTAGAAATGCAGTGACTCTGTTTTTGTCTGCTAAGACAAGGGCCTGCCCTTGGTATTAAGGCAAGCTCTAAATACTCTGGTAGTGCTGCGCGGTTATCACAGCGTAACATAGTGCTGTCATGCCATGTACGGTCGTCGTTGCTGACACATGCATTCCTGCAGCAGGATAGTGCTGAGTGATGATTGTAACTAGATCGTGACCGCAGGGTCTGTGTGTGTGTGTCTCGTTGCACGTTGTTTACACGTGTGTGTGTATGTGGCAGGGAGCAGGCACGGCCCTCGGCGAGCTTCCTCCTTACTTCATGGCAAGAGCCGCACAACTCTCAGGCACCGAGGAGGACCTAGACGAGTTTGAGGAGTTAGAAAAGTTGCAGGAGCACAGAGGTCATCCGCAGGTCAGTGCAATCCGTGAGACGATCCATGAAGCAGCCGTGCGTGCATGGCGTTGTCGTCACGTTGGGTTAGTTGTGTTTGAGTTTGGTTGAGCATTGAGTGAGACGTTTGCCGTTAGCTGAACACTGGGATGTTGTTTGCAGAATGCGATTGAGCGAGCGAAACTTGTGATTCACAACGCCGTGGAGAAGGTTGGCTTCCTCGGCATTATTGCCTGCGCTTCTGTAAGTCTTCCTTTTATCTTACTGCCCCCCTGCTACATACTACTGATCACTTCCCCCGGCTACATTTACTTACTACTTTCCAATTCTATCAAACCTTGCAAAAACATGTTTAAGGTATTCTCGTCGACTCGTCGTTGCAGATTCCGAACCCGCTGTTTGACCTCGCCGGCATCACGTGCGGTCACTTCCTCGTGCCGTTCTGGACGTTCTTTGGCGCGACGCTCATCGGCAAGGCCATTGTCAAGATGCACATCCAGAAGGTGTTTGTGATTCTGACGTTCAGCGAGCATCATGTCGAGACAGTGATCCGCTGGATCGGGTGAGTAGCATGTCGTTACACCGCCACGTCGTTACATAGTTTTATAGTTAGCCTTAGGGTTAGGGTTAGGGTTATGGTTTACTTTTAGAGTTAGTGCTAGGGTTAGGGTTAGTTTTATGGTTAGTTTTAGGTTAGGGTTAGGGTTAGGGTTAGGGTTCACTCCTAGGATACCGTTGGGGTCGACTTCTAGGCGTCTGCTGCGTAGGGATTGCGTTTAGAGCCTACTGAGACAGCGCGAGTAACGTCGTTACTAGCGATGATGTAGCGTTCGATTGTTCGATGTAATATGTCTGCTAGAGGCCGGTCGTATTCTCGCACGGGTGATGGATGTCTCGTCCGCAAGGTGGCGTCACTCGTGTGCCAGCGACGATGTTGATGGAGGGGTGCTGTATTTGCTTGCAGGTTCATTCCTCGTGTCGGACGGAAGGTGCAGGCTCCGTTCAGACACTACCTGCAGAAGCAAAAGGATAAGCTTCACCACCGTCCCGAGAAGCATCATTACAAGGTATGGCCCGTCGTCTGCGGTTGCAATCTTGGTGACAACGCATGATTAAATCACTACTAGCCTAGCCTACCTGACGGATTTGGGTTATATCAAGGGAGATTTTCTCATCGCGGTCAAGAGTGACGCGGCTTGAATGTGTGTACGACGACGTTACGGTTTTTCTTGTTTACCCTGAAATCGAATCGAGTTGGTTTGGAGCTCAGAGCAAGCGAGGTTCTTGTCGTCTGTTTGACCGAGCGTATTGCTGTTCTTTTGTTTTGCAGGACGCCACCTGGGTGCAGTGGATCTTTGAGAAGATAGTCATTGCGATGATTGTCTACTTTCTGCTCTCCATCGTCAACTCGATGGCGCAAAACTACCACAAGCGGCAGTGTCGCCGACGGCACGTCCCTGACAGGGACATTTGAGGTGTCAGCCCTCCCTACACACTCACCCTCCCTCCCCCCCCCTGCCGCTGCTCCCACTGCCCCTCCCTACTGATGCCAACTACGCTCATTAAAGATGGCAGTGGCAGGTATGTCAATATATGGTGCGTTAATGCACACAGGATGCAAACATTGGGCTACAGATCAGGGTTTGCACAAATGACGTGCTGTGGGGCAGGTGGAGTTATTTTTTCAGCATTGATTTCCTTTGGCTTTGAGGTGATGTCGCCAAATACAGTTTTGCTGCAATTCTTGGGAATGAGAGCCTCTCCCCCCATGCTTGGCATCTATAGCAACGCACTACTTTAGCTCACTTACAACGTTTGTTTCCCTACCTGGCTTTCCCGAATAGTCCCCCTGCACTGCTTATTATTATTATATTATCTCCAATTGTCACACCTGGCCAGACATGTTCACAGTGACGATGAGACGGAGATGCAGAGGAGTCTAATGGCCTAAAATCACCGCCCACAGCAGCGTTGAGGGTAACACAATGGTTTCTGTGTAGGTAATGTGTGCTCAAGCATTCGTGGTGGGCAAGTATGTGTTGAGTTGTCCGAGCTTCTCGGGTGAGAGGCGAAGAACGTGCAAGGTGGCACGAATACACGCACTACTCGCAGTCACACGTACCTTTCCAGGGATTCGCACTAGTATTTATCTTGATTCCCTGACTATTTATTGTCCTGCATTCAATACGGCGCCACACATGATCGATATATGTATGTGTATATATATATATCGCGATTATTTACACTCGTCATGCCGTGTGTTAGTCATCTTATGATTTGTTATTGTAAATATTGTTGTTATGGCATTTAATCATATTCAAGATGTGTTTTAAGTTGGTATGCTCGATGCATCTGAGGGCTGGGTTGTATGCATAACCGGAAGTCATCACTCGGATCGTTGTTTGTCGGCTTAACGTGCGTTATCTCGACACTCTTTCACATTCTTTGCACTCACGTTAGCGGCATTCGTATGTGGAACTGTCGCTATCGAATGCCATTTCGCGAAGGGGACCTAACCCTTTAATAATTCTAATTTCCAGGCGAGTGCATGTCTTACACGGTGATGTTTTCGTTGGGCTGCTGGGGTCCTGCGACAAGCTGTATAGTGCACATGCTCAGCTGATTCGCCGCTGACGTGATCTATCGTTGTTGCGTCATAACGTCATAAACCAAGGAGATAATCCACCGCAGTGAGGTTCTGTCGGCCAACAAAGATTGGTTGGGTTTCCTCGGTGGTTCTATCTGCTAGTGTGTCCACGCCCCGGCAGAGTGGCCAGCAAGACTAGCGACGTCTTCTGTCGTCTATGCTGTGCTGCAGGACGTGATCTTGCGGTTCACGTTGTTGCCGTGTGACACTGCCCTAGTGTGCGTGTCGTAGCTGTGTGTCTGTGGTCGACGTAGTTGTGAAATGCAAATAGAACATCCTGCAATGGGCGGATGTGATGTTGCGCTGGCCAAGCATGACTGTACAAGGACAGCGTGTCCTAGCATGCTGTTAGCGTTACAGTGCCATTCGGCAAACCTCGGGAGAATCAGCTGCTCTCCTTCATTCCATAATTCAGTTAGATGGAGGTATGGAATCGGCCGAGGTGTGCCTAGTGGTTGCATCGCTTCTGAACAATTGAAATATTGTTTAGGCACCGGCAGAATTGTATTTTCGGTGGGAAATGCCATTGTGGGAATTGATTTCAAACCACAGTATTAGTCACAAGAATCGAGATGTACACAGTTGTAACCTTTTAGTGTGTGAACGTGTTTTAAATAAAACCCAATGATTTCAGGCAAATTATTTATACAACAACCCCGTTGTTTTGGTTTTCGCTAGAATATTCTATTTTACACACACAGTGTTTATTCGTACGTCATGTCACCTGCTGACATGAACACAGGAAACACAAAGCGATAAAAAGTAAACATTTGCAGTATACTTATCAATGCTTTATTTAATATAAACAAACACATAGCTATCTCCACTCTTGGCAATACACATATTCTGGTCTAATCCAGTCATATCGCATACTAATAACCATGTGGAGACATTGCTGTGGCAATATACAGTTACAACTCAATCGATCGCTAGAATCTGGAGGGGGGTAGTACATAAGAATAATATACATCTATCCTTTTAGTTCTGTAGTTGAAGGGCGACATGGGCCATGGCCGTATGCGCGTACAAACGAGTTGCTCTTTACTATTTTCAACTGCAAATCGATTAAATGTTGCGTGGATTTGTATTGCGGTGATAGTAAACTGTCATCGAAATGTCAATGTTAAAAGCACGTATGAGTTTAAAAAGTGCCCTTATATATGTCTGGTCATCTCCAGAGTGAATTCAAGCGCACAAGGTTTTCACACGAATACTCCACAAAAGTTGCATGCCACAGCTTCGGGCATGCGAGAAAGAAGGTCCCTGGTAGGTTACACCCATAGCCATATATACAGTTTCATCACGTGTGCCAGTTTAGCCAAGTTAGCAGCCACACAGAACGTATAACAGTATGTTACGGTACGACCGTACGATACAAAGAATTTATCGATACCGTATTGTGGACTGACGGCACGAGAACAAACAGGACATAAAAACAAAGAGTTACTTACACGCACGCGTGCAGGTATGAATGATTTTCGCTTGCTATCAAAATTCACGACGTTCAACAAAATTGAGGAGTGATAGGGTTAGAAATAACACAAGGTTAAGGCAGTGAAACATTTGTGGTCAGAATAAAAAAGGACGTTTAAAAAGGCTCACGGGTGCGTTTATGACTTTTAAAATGCCTCCAGTTTCTGTGCTAACTGTTTGAGCAGCGTGTTCCTGTCGTGGCTTAAAAGGCATCGCGCGGCCACAGTGAAATTATACTACCTCTGCAAGAACAGCAGAACATTTAGGACTTGCCGCAGGCGAGACTTCAGCAAGCAAGCATACCCCACCACGATCATGTAATTGTCACGATCATCGTGCCGCATTTATCCACGACTCCACAGAAACATTGTAGGATTTCATGACACACTCCATATGCATATTATATTCACGTATTACAAGACCTCTGATAGAGGCAACGACGCGCAATATAGGTTCGCGTGTTAACATACATTTTACGTACACTTGTTCTATAGGAAATGTTCTGGGAAAACTAGCACGATGTGTCATCAAACTGCAGTCCTTAGCACTGGAGAGTCATCATTACTTAAGTGAACTGGAATAGTAAGGGTCCAGCAGTCATTCAGTTATTCACACTTTATGTATTACTTGCCTACTTGAGTAGGGTGAAACAGGGAAACAGGGATGTCAGCAAAGACCACGGCACTTTCTCTGCCACATAACCCACTCTCACCCTGAATAGCACCTCTACGATCTACGAAAAATGATGAAGAACAAGCTACTGGTAATGCGTACAGTGACTCCAATGTCTTGGGAAGGCAAAACCCTGAGGACCTGTCAAAGGAAACGATCAGAAAAAAAACGTTTTTTTCGTGCCGAATCTTTGGTTCTCAATCTGTTGCTGTTGTTGATGCAGTTGAATGGTACAGGTCTATCAGGGAGACACAAAAGTGACACTACGTGTCACAGTGCCAAGAAATAGCAGCTCGGTAGCTTTCACACCCCAGTCAGTCTCTGACTACAGCACACACAGCTGCTCTCAGAGGAAGTAGTCTGGCTGTGGCTTTTTGCTAGGTATGCCTCGTCGCTCCTGCGGTGCCGCCTCGAATATAGTGAAGTCTCTCTGTAGGTGTTCGTCTAGCTCCAGTATTGCTGCCACGTTACCGCACCTGTCGAGCAAAGATGGTTCTGACATCACACACACACACACTCCATCGCCGCGTCAGAAACTAATACGAAACAACTGAACAAACCTGCACTAGCCTTGAGTTGGCAATTAGCCATGTCGTGCCCATATGCCACCGTTTTACCGTTTGTACAGAGTCGAGTTCTTAACGATTATTCTTCTGTCTCTAGCGACACGACGTCGTCAGAGCATCCGACTCACTGGAAACATTGTTAACGAGCGGCAATTACATGCACCGTGTACGTTTACCCCGTGATGAGAGAGAGTGTGGGCGCAACCAACACTAACGCTGCTTGTAACACTTCCTTCTAGAGGTGTTCCAGCAGGAGCAGTGACTCTGCTAGCAGTGCAGCACTCGGGGACAGCCGACTAACAGCCACTCACCTGTAGCAGCACTCGGGGACAGCCGACTAACAGCCACTCACCTGTAGCAGCACTCGGGGACAGCCGACTAACAGCCACTCACCTGTAGCAGTAGTTCGGTGCCGACCAGACCGTGAGCACTGTCTCGTTGAAGTGCCACTTGTAGCCCTCCATGACAAGCTGGTGCGCCCGGCAGATCATGTCAATGTCGTTGACGGCGTTGAACTGCGCGACGACGTCGCTGCCAAACAGGTATCCGGCGCCGCGCGGGCTCACGCCCCAGCCCTGCATGTCTGTCGCCAACATCACCAATCGCTCCATTAAACAACGCACGTGCCGCGCACTCGCGCACAAACATGCAAATTGCGGGAAAGGTCACAGACTTGGGTCAACTTAAAATTTACTTGAACGTAACTTAACATCAACTTACAAGTGTTGTAACAACAACTTACGATACATGATCAGGGTAATTAAGATAAAAGTATAAACAAAGTCAGTCGTGCGCAAAGGTACTTATATTATATAGTAACGCAGTTAAGTTGAAATCGGCTGGAACTTGAATAGTAAAATTAATAATCACTATCATACTAGTTGAATATATATTTATAACCATTTCCCATTCACAAACATTACAAACCTTCTGGATCTGACCAGAGCAAGTCACACATTGGGCCATCATGAGGTACCTCTTGTTTCCGGTCTATTGTTCGGATTTGGTCGAGTGTTTGAATAGATGGAGACAGTCCTCCGTGCACACAGAATATCTGCGAAGGTAACACGAACATTAACTTTTGAAAATAATGATTTCAAACAGTTTTTCTGACCCCTACAATACTTACTGGTATTGCTTGCATAACAGCAAGTGTCTAAAGTAAGGCCAAGATATCTTAGGACACTCGTACACCGTTGTTTTTTACAAAAATATACAACAATAATGAAATCTGTTTGTTTACATCATGGTTACATGATGATGCCACTTGTTTATTACGAGACCCTGTCCTTGTACTTTTACATAGTAACTGGAATTGTGCAATAGAGATAGTGTACCAGTCTAGAACTACTACCTCACTCAATGAGATGCACTTTTGTCTGGTGGTTGCCAATTTCAAGAGAACTATCGCTATGCGAAAGGATGTGGCTGTATTATTTGCTATTTTATATACCATAACAGCATAAACTCATGGTAGTTTTTATACTGGAGTAATCAGTAACATGTTCGCTATTAGGTGAGACTATATTTTTCTCGATTGTGCAGTTATTCGTGAAATAATTCCTTTAAGCCAGCACGCAAGCATCCTAGCACGCAACCAGCATTACGGATTCACGCTCGCTAAGCTTAATTACCCTACATCGGCTAACATAACAACTGAGTAGATACATTACTAATGCTAACAAACATGAACAGGTAGATAATAAGGGGCTCACCTGGCCATCGATGATGGCCGACAAACTGAGATAGTCGAAGATTTCTGTACAGTAACGCCACACGGTGATCGATCCATACTTGCGTAAACACTCGTCGTAAAACCCATACACCTGTGTGATCTGCCTGCTCTCGTGGTTACCCCGAATTAACGTTATTCTGTCCGGATACCTCACCTAGAATTGACAAATGCTAGTTAGCAACAGGTACTCCACAAAACTTCTGAAAAAATACAACAGTATAAGTCAGGAAAGGAAACATAAACTATGTACACATCAATATAAAAGATACCAAACTAAATATCTTATAGCCGAGAAGATGGTACAGAGCATACAAATTACTATGATTGCGTAGATAAAATATAATGCAAATAATAATAATAAAAGATATTTTAATGCAAATTGTGCTCACGTGACTTCAAACATGATATGATATACCTTAAGTGCAAGTAGAAGTAGGAAGGTTTCAACACTGTAGAATCCTCTGTCGACAAAATCACCAAGAAATAGGTAGTTTGTATCTGGGACATCACCCCCAACTTTAAAAAGTTCTTTTAAGTCATAGAATTGGCCATGTATGTCTCCACAAACCTGAAAACAGATTTTTGATATTAAACATAGTTATCCTTTTTATCTCGACCTTTGAAAATGCCTTTCCTTAAGCAAAAAAATCATAAGGACTACTTTCTGAGGTATCACCACCATATGAACTATTAGAGTTGACCAAAAACTAGAAGTAATGATAATTGACACAAAAATAAATCTATTTTTCTTTAATCTTTCATCAAATCCTAGACATGATATTATGGGTCAATTGTCCATGGTCATCATCCATCATAAACACGTAACGGAAATATTTCGCTGGTGAAGAGCAAGAATCAACTAGTGACATAAAAAGAAGCGCTACTCTCACTGCTGACTGTACACCTTCATAAATAACAGAGAAGCGATGCTTACTGTGACTGGAGAGTCGACTCTCTGCACGTTGCTTTCTTCTACGAGGATTTCGCGTGCTTTCGCACAGAGGGATTTCACTTCACTTTCTTTGATGACCTCACACTTCCTCAGCTGCTCAATTTGCCTAGGTAAAATAAAGAAATGTGGTTTACGCATGAATTAATCTACGTTTCTATATGGATAAAGTTAAGAAGTTGGCAAGCTCCAAAACGGTAACATGTGTAACTCAAATCTAAGAGAACTCCAACTAGAATCCTAATTCTCACCCCCTACCCGTGATTTATAGCTGCTGGTACATACTTGATAATTTAGCCAATCAACTCACATAAAGGTAGGAGGTAGGCCATAGGCTGTTTGGTTAATTTACATGTGGATGGCAATATAACAGTTGTTGCATCACTTTTTTTACTGCTTACCTGTCTAGGTCACTAGAATCAGTCATTTTGGAATGAATCAGTGAGCACTATAACCACCACATTAAAGTGAGACCTAAAAATATTAAAGAAAATTAATCTTGTTGAGTCTCTACCACAAAATTAGCAATACTTTATTTCTCTGATAGGTAACCACGACTCGTATATGCAAGCACACGCTGTTACCGATTCCTTATCTGATTTCTGAATCAACTCAAGTCGTTATTTATTCAGCAGACAGCTAGGTAGTATTACCATGGCATGAGCAAATGTGCTATAGCTGTTCAAGGTAATGCTCACCACTGAGTCACGCTGCAAATGAATGAACGCCAGAAAATGATACGATCTGAAATGCTGTCTTGCTGGCCGTGTTGGTAACAGCGTTAACTCATTAGCTCAGAAACATTTTGTAATACATATAACTCCGGAAGCAATAAAGCAATATAGTAGCGGGCACGATAATTATAAACTACAACAACTACAGTTTAAAATGAAAATAAAAAGAAAGAAAATGACAAAACAAACCTCAGTCTACGACTGTATGTCTCGTAAGAGATGTATAGCTTAGTTTTTAAATACACTTTACTACACATAATACATATAACTATGCATGTTTGATGATTTAATAAAAATATAATGTTAGCGTGTATTATTTATATTTTGTATTATGTATATAAATATATTATAATATATTAAACACTTATATTATCTAGTAAGAGGTAATATTTTGCACTTACCATCCACGAGATGGCGCCATACATTGCAAAGCAAAAATGACAGTCGAAGAAGACACTGTCACTGTGACTGTCACAGTCGTTGTTTGTGTAATCATTGACATTGGTTGAGTTCTACTTCGTTTGTTCTTTGCTTCAATAAAGTCATATTTTTAAGAGATCCATCTGAAAGAGAGGTAGGACTAATGTGAACCGAATCTCGAGACGGGTGACTAGTTTCAAGTTGTGCAACAATCGTCAATCGACATTTTTACTTTTTACTTTTTATAATTATTAATCTTTTACCTAATTTTTTGGCGTTTCGACGTAGGTTACTAGGTAGGCCTACTAGTTAGTGAACCTACACTACGTAGGTAGGCCTACACAGATGAACGATAACGCGTGTGTGTCGATGTACATATACTATTACTATAGTATAGTATTAGTAAATTTAATCTTACCCGTAATCGTTATCGAAATATTGAGCCGAATACACTTTCAGTTTGTGTATGCAGCTCCCCTAGATACAATAATGTAACCACAACCCAGGATAGGGTTACAACGCGATTCTATGGTTTTCTGTGGAGGAACCCCTTAGTGAATCACACAGTGGGCTGCGACTAGGGACAGCGCGTCTCCCGTGGTACCGAATTCTCTCCCTAGAGGGCCTTATTATTATTATTTTTAATTAGGGATAGGGTTAAGGTTAGGATTAGGGTTAGGGTTAGGGTTAGGGTTAGGATTAGGGTTAGGGTTAGGGTTAGGATTAGGGTTAGGGTTAGGATTTGGGTTAGGGTTAGGGTTAGGGTTAACTGATTTTATTAATTGTTAATTAATAATGCGCCATCTAGCGGATCTAAAACCTACTATTTCGGACTTGGGAGACGCGCTGTCCCTAGTGGCACGCCCTCTAGGGAGAGAATTCGGTACCATGGGAGACGCGCTGTCCCTAGTGGCACCCCACACAGTGCGGTTTGCTGGTGCGTTTTCAGAGACTAGAACTTCCAAACTGGGTTTATTCTAATTCTAAACACGAACCTTTCTCCGCTATCCTGGAACTTACTATGTATTACAATACTCTGTATTAAACTAATATAACCTGTTACAAAAATTCGAAGTGACGAGCGGCGGATATATTGAGCCCCATTTCTGTTGACCTGTGACGTACGCATTCCCAATGCGCATAGCGATCGGCAAACGCAGCGCCCTCCAATTGGTCGGTGAATTCGCTCTTCAAACCGAAGTACGTCACAGGTCAACAGAAATGGCGCTCAATATATCCGCCGCTCGTCACTTCGAATTTTTGTAACAGGTTATATTAGTTTAATACAGAGTATTGTGATACATAGTAAGTTCCAGGATAGCAGAGAAAGGTTCGTGTTTAGAATAAACCCAGTTTGGAAGTTCTAGTCTCTAAAAACGCACCAGCAAACCGCCCTGAGTGATTCACTCAGGGGTTCCTCCACAGAAAACCATAGACTCGCGTTGTAACCCTATCTTGGGTTTGGGTTACATTATTGTATCTAGCAGCTCCCCCAGCCTCACAGGCACTTGAAGCGTTTCAATAAAATATAATGCTAAATAAATACGAAATCTATTTACTACCAAATTCTTAATGTTTCTATACTCTCTTTCACCTAGTATTATTGCCAACAGTTTCCTGTAAATTCTGTCCAAATCCTATGTACAACACACGCTGCCCGCGGCCATTGCTCTCGCGGCTGTATATATATAGCAGGTAGGAAAGCGGGATCCCTAAATTCGCTTGATTTCACGCCTTCACAGCACAAATACACATCCAACAGCTTCCATCTTTGTTTCCATTTCAAGAACAGTGTTCATTTGTTATAAAAACATAATGTCTCTGTTCGTAACCGAGCTGTGTCACGCGAAATCAACCAAAGACTGACGAAATTCTCGCGTTCCCTAACATTGCCCAGTAAATGTAAATGGCTGCCAGTACAGGGCTATATAGACTGGTACTCGCTCCCACCTTGATTACCCATCGAGTAACTAAGCTAAGCCGAGAGGTGGGAGCGAGTACCAGTCTATCGGCTATAGGCGGCGCACTGCTTTCCAACTCTTGTATGAGCCTCGCCATTGGAGCGTTGCAAAAACGTTGCAGCGTTGCGGCGCAAGAATGAGGTCACGAAGAGCGCCGGTGGGTGTTTCCTGATTCTGACAGCCATTTACATTTACTGGGCAAGGTTAGCGAACGCGAGAATTTCGTCAGTCTTTGTGTGATTTTGCGTGACACAGCTCGGTTATGAACAGAGACAATATGTTTTTATAACAAGTGAACACTGTTCTTGAAATGGAAACAAAGATAGAAGCTGTTGGATGTGTATTTGTGCTGTGAAGGCGTGAAATCAGGCGAGCGTCAAGCGAATTTAGGGATCTCGCTTTCCTACCTGCTATATATATAAGTGTAAGTGTTCACAGTGCAGCCGCGAGAGCAATGGCCGCCGGCAGCGTATGTTGTACATAGGATTTGGATGGAATTTAGAGGAAACTGTCGGCAATAATACTAGGTGAAAGAGAGTATAGAAACATTAAAAATATGGTAGTAAATAAATTTCGTATTTATTTAGCATTATATTTTATTGAAACGCTTCAAGTGCCTGTGCTTAGGCTTAGTCATATATACCATAGATACATATATGCTTAGTCATCAATACGGTACCCTCCGATACATTTCCATAGTTTCTTAGATCGGGCGCTAGATGGCACTATTGTAAAACAGCGCCGCCATACTCGACATCATAAAGTGTATTTGCACCTGCAGCTGAGCTAACCGCAGCAATGTCAAGACAAGAAGTGCATGTGTACACGATTTTACGAATTTTCACTTCATACAAATTTTGACGAATATAAGTTGTAACAGGGTTCGTAGCGGGTCTTCCAAAGTCTTATAAGTACTTATTTTGCCAAAAATAAAATAAGGGCCCTTATTAGTACTTATTTTTGGTGAAATCTTAGAAAAGTACTTAATAGTCCTTATTTTTTGCAACCTACAATATTTCATATAAATTGTTTTATAAACTATTCTCGACTTAGAGTAAGAATTGCTGTATATATAATACGGAATAATTAAATCTGCTGTGCAACTGTGTATATAAATATTATTAGTGTACTTTAATAGTCGGTGATCTATCAGAAATCGCGTAAAAAAAGTCTTATTTTGGCCTCCAGAAAGGGTCATATAAGTCCTTATTTCGACATGCGTCTTACTACTATGAACCCTGTGTAACAACAGTCAACAGTCAAAATTGGTAAAATCGTGTTCTTGCACACAACCTACCTCTAGAGTCTAGACTAATAGTGATATTGATAATAGCAAGAGCTAATAATACCTAGAGTGTACAACGGAAAAACGGGAAAATAGTGCTATTTCACGACAACATTATTCTACTTTGCCTGCGAGTCTATAATAATTTCATGGTATTGCATTAAGCAGAATTCTTTGCTCTCTAAAACAAGACCAACCGCTTGTCAATACGATACTCCTAGGCGGAGATATCGGCTCCTAAACCTCCCCTCCCACATGCCAAACGCCGCCTCGAATCCACTTCTGTCCGCATCCTTCACGCGGCTAAGCGTTGCTTCGTTAGAGTTCGGTTTTTCCGCCATAATTGTATGAATGATTTTCGGGTGCAGGTGCAGGGTGGAGGTGACTTTCGGGGGCATCGCCTATGCCCTTATCTCCCATTATCTTTCCTAGCAAGGCTAATGCCCGTCATGATGGAGCCGGCAATGTTTTTTTAATTAAGTCTCTACAACGCAGCTAGTAAGAGTACCAAATTTGGGCATGTGACATCAATTATCAGCGCTCCAAGCGGTGACGGAAACCGATAGCTGAAATGCTTAGACGCGTGAAGGATGCGGACAGAAGTGGATTCGAGGCGGCGTTTGGCATGTGGGAGGGGAGGTTTAGGAGCCGATATCTCCGCCTAGGAGTATCGTATTGACAAGCGGTTGGTCTTGTTTTAGAGAGCAAAGAATTCTGCTTAATGCAATACCATGAAATTATTATAGACTCGCAGGCAAAGTAGAATAATGTTGTCGTGAAATAGCACTATTTTCCCGTTTTTCCGTTGTACACTAGGTATTATTAGCTCTTGATAATAGTAAAAACTTAGAAACTACACCGTTTGTCGACCTCCTATAAACTTAATTTCCTGAGGAAGTGGCAGGGGTTAATTGGTAGAGTAAAAGGTAAAAATGTGTTAACTTAGTATATCTGTGCAGTAACTTCATACTTGATAAAATGCATAAATTGATGAGTATTTTCTGCCATTATACAACATGTCGCATACGCTGGCAGTGTCGGCCACAAAAAACAATGGCCGGAAACTATCATCAGGTTGCACACGGGTGTGAAATTATTGTGTAAAAATAATAAGTTGACCCTTTTGACCCCGCTGTTTACCTCAGCTAGTTCCGCAGGAAATGCAGCCATGGGTGGAACGTGGAGGAAAGTTTTTTATGAACTATAGACAGTATTGTGAGGTCCTGGTCCTTAGAAAGCGAGGTAGTAATCCTGCTATATATCTGGTTTTTGACAGGTTTGATATCGCACAGGACCTAGCATTTGTCTAGGTAGCAAGCAACTTTTGAAAAGGCACACAAGGAACACATGCAACCAGCAATTCTAATCACTTGCTAAATGAACCAAAAATCCACAGTAATGTAGAGTGCAGGAGTGAAAACCCCAGTATGGCTAGAGCTGAAAATGAACAATCTTTAGTGGCTAACTTGAGTTCTGGTGTGGATTATTTGAAAATTCAGAATAATCTATTGGGCATTAAAGCTGAAACAGAATACTCAGTCACTGACAACAATCTCAGCAATCTGTCAAGTGAAAAATCCAACATGGAAGTCGAAGGCAAGCCAGATGTGAATTGTAACGGATTACACAGCTCGCCCAACCCTCATTCACCAGATGTCAGCACTCTTCTAGACAATACCCCATTTCGTTCGGAAACCCAGGACCAGTCCCTATTAGATGGCAGCATCACACGGTCGCAGCGAAGGAAACGGACGAGGAATTTAATGTTGCCTGCAGAAACGTACGAGACGTTCTACTTCTGCCTGGTGTGCAGCCAGGGCATCGGCAACAAGAAGGGGCTAGCCGACCACATGCGCGAGTTCCAGCATGGCGAGTCTCCGCGCTGGAAAGCATTCCAGTGTCCTTCGTGTCAGATGGTGTTTGCGAACGCGATGGACGTCGTCACTCACCGCGAGACGCAACACGATCTGCGGCGTCAGTTCGTCTGCGACGTGTGCGGCCTCGCCTACCACAGGAAGAAGTACTTCTTCCACCACCGGCTGACGCACGGGAGCCGCCGGCGCATCGCGTGCGACCGCTGCGGCGTCACCTGCTCCACACGACAGGTGCTGCGCCGCCACATGACCCTGCACCGCGCCGACGCCCCCTATCGCTGCGCCGTCTGCCAGAAGCGATTCAAGTCGGACGACCGGCTGCGGGCGCACGTGCGGATGCATGTCAGCGAGGCAGTGGCGGCTCGGCACGACGACACGGCGATCGCGGCTAGGAGGACAGATGGCGCTGGAGCGGTGGCGCGGCGGGACGGAGTCGTGAAACCAGTCGAGTGTGAGACATGTGGCAAGACATTCAAGCAGCAGCAGCTTCTGCACGCGCACACTGCGCGTTTCCACGGCAATGCGGCGTCACAGACGCACGGGCGGATGCGCGACCACGTCGCCGTGGAGACGACGCGCGGCGGCGAGCGGCATGCGTGCGGCGTCTGCCAGCGCGTCTACACGTCGCAGGTGTACCTCGAGCGGCACACGCAGCTGCACTTGGAAGCTCGTTGGCGGCGTAGCCATGTGTTCACCCTCCCTGCCACACGCGTCACGCACGGCCATGACGACAATGTTGACAACACATTCATCTGCTCGGCGTGCGACGACCACTTTCACTCCCAGGTGGCGCTCACGAGCCACGTAAACGATGTGCACCGTGGGGTGCCGCGTCTCCGGCACTCCAGGCCGGCGTCACCGCCGCCTGATGACGATTCGGCGCGCGCGGTCGCGCTGTGGCAGGCACCGGACGAGTCTCCTCAAACTACGGGCGAAGATTGGCTCCAATCACAGCACGACGCAGAGTTACCGTCGACGAATCATGACGCGGTACACTTCAGGACGGAGTCGGACACGGCGACCGTCATGGCGGACGGGTCGCGTGGCAGCAGGTCGGAGCGGCCGTCACGCAAGCAGCGCTTCCCGCAGAAGCTGGGCATCTTTCGGCCGCGGCTGCTCGACCCCGGGAGTGGCGACGTTGAACGCTCTGAAGCGGTGGAGTCCGCAGCGCCCCCTGCTGGTCCGCGGGAGCACTGCTCGGATGCCGAGGCTGCAGCACGCTTGCTGTTCCACGCAGCGAACAAGTCGTCTTCATGCGCGGCGCAGGACGCCCGCGATGAGGTCACGTCCGTGACCCCGCGACCCGACGTTTACACATCGCCGTTCTTCAAGAGTGTCGTGCCGCGGAAAGATAGATGGGCGCCGGTCACCTTCAGCGACGACCCACCGCGACACCGGCGCACTCTGGCGCAGCTGCTCGGCGGCGGTGCCCTCGACGACGCGACCGCCGGGAGAGCGGGAGCACTCCTGGAGATGGCGAAGGCTTTCACACGGGATTCTGGCATGACAGGGGGCGCCACCGAGCGCCACGACCAACTGGATCGGGAATGTTTGTCGCTGCAGTCATTCGCAGGTGAAGACAGGTGAGGGAGTCTTCATACTGTATGCGCATGCGTGCGTGCGTGTGTGTATGTGATTGTGTGTGTGTGCGTGCATGTCTGAGTCTATATGTTTGTATGTGTGTGTGCGTGCGTGTTTGTATGTGTGTGTGTGTGGGTGGTGTTACACGCTTTAAAATTATGTGTTGCGTTTAGGACTGTTAAACAGGTTGAATAATTTGTCATGAGTTTTTCTCGGTCACGTTCTCTTACTCATGTGGTTTATATTTAAATTAAATAATGTAGTAATTTATGTAATCCTAGTTTAAAAGTGTAAATCTGTGTGTGTTTCAACAACTATAATCTTTAACGCTTTGAAATACAGAACAACATGTTACCTGATGTTAAATGTGACCATGAGAGACGAAAGCAATGTCTATTGCAAACATAAAATATTTTGAAGCAGGCTCTCCTTGACATATTAAGCTTTTTCTCGTAATTGTTTTTAAGAGCGAGCCACCTTAGTGGTGTGTGTGTGAGATCTGTTATTTCTGTGCTGGATCGATGAGTGAATGACACTGAATGTCATAGAGGATAATTTATGCAGATAAGTCTGTTGATGTGCAGTAGGGTAAAAAATATACAGGAGCGATGAGCGATTCGCTCTTCAAACCTCTGAAATTGCTCCCATGAGGCTCAAAATAGCTCCTGTAAAAATGTTTACGAGAGCTATTTTTCTACAGACTTGAAAAAGAGCTCCCGTGGAAAAAAAAAGGATTTTTTTCCCTAATGTGCAGCCAAGTCCAGTCAATGTTATTCCCCTACAGGTGCACCTGTCCTAGTGAACACCCAGGCTACAGGTGCGTGTTACTGTGCACCTCTCTTTATTGAACACCCAGGCTGACAGTGCCACCTCTCTTAGTGTAACACCAGGCTACAGAGATGCCACCTGTCTTAGTGAACACCAGGCTCTAACAGTTGCACCTGTCCTAGTGAACACCCAGCGGCTACAGGTGCCACCTGTCTTAGTGACACCCAGGCTAACAGGTGACCTGTCGTTAGTGAACACCCAGGCTACAGGTGTCCACCTGTCGTCAGGTGAACACCCAGGCTACAGGGTGCACTTGCTAGTGAACACCCAGGCCGTACAGGTGCCACCTGTCGCTTAGGGAATCCCTCAGGGCTACAGGTGCCACCCGTCTATGTGATACACTTCCAGGCTACAGGGTGCCACCGTGTCCTAGTGAACACCAGGCTACAGGATGCACCTGTTTCTTTAGTGTGAACACCCAGGCCTACAGGCCTGCACCTGCTCTTAGTGAACACCCCCAGGCCTACAGGTGCACCTGTCTTAGTGAACACCCAGGCTACAGGTGCACCTGTCTTAGTGAACACCCAGGCTACAGGTGCACCTGTCTTAGTGAACACCCAGGCGTACAGGTGCACTCTGCTCCCCCCTTCCCCATAGTGAACACCAGGCGACAGGTGAACCTTGTCTTAGTGAACACCCAGGCCTACAGAGTGCACCTGTCTAGTGAACACCAGGCCCTACAGGTGCCCACCTGGCTTAGGTGAACCCCAGGCTTACCGGAGTGCACCTGTCTTAGTGAACACCCAGGCTACAGGTGCACCTGTCTTAGTGAACACCCAGGCTACAGGTGCACCTGTCTTAGTGAACACCCAGGCTACAGCGTGCACCTCGCTCTAGTGAACACCAGGCTACAGGGTGCACCGGTGTCTTAGTGACACAGGCCTACAGGCTGCACCTGAATCTTAGTGAACACCCAGGCTACAGGTGCACCTGTCTTAGTGAACACCCAGGCTATAGAACGGGTTTCTGTTTATACACGTCAGTCGGAGCATTATTTAGTTGCATTTATATGGTTGCATAATTACATTATACACGCTGGTGTAACAAAAGAATTACATATAGTGAAACCACCTCAATATAGTTGGTGTCTGTCTATAGCGGACATTTTAGGAGTATTGACCCTTATATGCAGGTTTGACCCTTATATGCAGGTTTGACTGTGTTTCTGTGTTTGGTCGTAATGCCCGCGTTTCACTGTGGCGATTGTTTACTCCTCTAGCACCTTCACTGTGGCGATTGTTTACTCCTCTAGCACCTTCACTGTGGCGATGGTTTACTCCTCTAGCACCTTCGCGCATCCTGCACCCTGCACCCTGCACCCTGCATCCTGCACCCTGCAATTTACATTTTGGTTCAATCTGCGGTGCGGGGTTAACTTCTCTATATTTCTAACCAGAAGCGGTGTATTCGTTGCGGTTAACTTCTCTATATTTCTAACCAGAAGCGGTGTATTCGTTGCATTTGCACTTTCGTGCTGCTCTTTACCCAGACTATAATTCAGCGTAATGTGGTGACCCCTGTGCACGTAGTTTGCACCATTTCCTGACCGTATACCTCGAATCGACAGTATTCACGGCGCTAAAATTACTAACTCCGTTTTCAGTTTCTCCGCCAGCCATGCATCCGCAGATGCCGTCAACGCACGGGTAAAGTTGGAGCCGGGTCGGCAAGAGGAGGAGGAGGAGGAGGAGGAGGGGGAGGAGCTCGCGGCCCTACAGCCGGCTGTGACCTCTATAGGACGGATGGTAGGCACCACTCAGCAGCAGCACTGCAGCATCCCAACACGCGGGTCTACACTGCCTTGCATGCATGCATATCGATCTATCTATCTATATGCACATGCACGCACCACGTACGCACACGCACGCACACACCATGCACGCACGCACGCACACACCACGTACGCACATGCACGCACACACCATGCACGCACGCACGCACACACCACGCGCGCGCACGTACACACGCGCACACACCACGCACGCACACATCATGCACGCACACACGCACCCACACACGCGCGCGCACGCACATACCACGCACGCACGCGCGCGCGCACGTACACACACCACGCACGCACACGCATTAATATATTTGCCGCGTGTCCTACTGCTGCTGCTATCACTTCGTCAAGACGGCTGGTGCGTGATCAGTTGTCGCGGTAACCCCGTACGCCCGCGTACACACACGGCTTACAAAAACAAATCGATCCAGTCATGCGCGCTGCGCTGCGCCAGTGTCATTCGCGCTATACCATTGTACGTACAACATACTACAATCGAACTACAACCTATACCGTATGTCATCAAACAAGCTGCGGCACATCCACAGGTATGTACGCTTATGAAATATTACATTCTTGAATATTGTTCATGCAATTTTTTATCTTGAATCTATTATTTCATTCACTCAATCTATATTCTACGTTTAACAACTACCCCACTAATGCACAAAATAACCACATTTGTGCTTCATATTAAACTCATTGCCAATTTCTTTAGGCAATCACTAATGGCAATTGACCGATTACAAATACTTCACCCCTTAACCTGTTGGATTTTCAGGACGGTGGTTACACTCATGTACGGGGTTCTTTTGACTGACTGTGAATTTATCTTTCGTTCTTTTCCTGTCGTACACTATCTACAATAATTACAGAGTGTATCCCTGAGTGCAAAATTAAGCTCGCATCAGATGCCGTGTACCATCCCACAAGCACTAATTATCAACTGTTCCTATTTTCTCTAAACACGTTGAAGACTGCTTCTGCATTTGTCCAGCTACTGAACATGGTGAAAAACATACTTTATACCACATACTTTCAAACTACTAAACGTCTCTTATGTAATATGCTGTCTCCGATTCCATCTTCTTCAGTTCCAAAAACCTTCTGCATCCGTCAAAAGATGCAAGTCCTGTGGTCGACCAACGAAGGGACACAAGAGGTTTACAAAGGAGAGTCCATGTGACTTGCCACCTCTTCCAGAACTAATGGCCATAAACCAAGCTCGCACTCAACATCGTCGTGCAAAAGTCAGAGCAAACAATGCTTCCACTTTAAACAAACAGATAACTCGGGAACGTATGGCTTCAGAACCAAACAAACAGAGAACTCGGGAACGTATGGCTTCAGAACACAACAAACAGAGAACTCTGGAACGTATGGCTTCAGAACCAAACAAACAGGGAACTCGGGAACGTTTAATTATTGGCTTTCAGAAACCAAACAAACATGAAACTCTGTGAGCGACTATGGTTTCAAGCAAACACAACAAACTAGAGAACTCTGGAACGTTAGTCTTTCAGAAACACAACAAACAGAGAACTCTGGAACGTATGGCTTCAGAACACAGCAAACAGAGAACTCGCAAACGTTTTGCATCAACAGTCAACCTTAAAAGACTTAGGCAGCGCAAACAACATCAACGGCAACAAAGGGCATCAAAGGCAAGCACTTTTGGTTCCGTCCACTACCGGACACACACACCAATCGATTCCATTTCTTTCATGCTACCGTTTATACATAACAAGTGTAAATAGAAAAAGCAGACAAATGCTAACAATGTTCAAACGTTGATCACTGTGTCATGCTTTAGAATCTAACGTTTCACCAGGATAGATCATAAATCATAACAAAAACACAGTAGCCAAAAATACTAATAATTCAAAAGAAATGTAGGTACTAATTTTCTTGCCGTTATTGATATCAGAGAAAAGATAAGATTAATCGACAAAAAAATATGCACACAAAACAAGTAAATTTGGACAAATTTTGCTACAATTTTCATGGGTGATCAGTGTCCCTGTCTCGGCCTCTCACGCGGGGCATTTTATTCACCGGCCATGCTAGGCGCGTAGCTACGAGACGTGCATTCGCGTTCATCGGCCAGCTAGTATACTATATATATTATATATATATATATATTCTTGTATATAGATGTGCCGTGCGTGCTTGTGCCGTGTGTTACAGCTGTGTATATGCATGCGTTGCGTTGAGCGTGCTAGTGCGTGACGTGCAGTGCGTGCGTGCGTGCGTGCGTGTGTCACAGTGTGTATATGCATGCGTGCGTGCGTGCGCGCGTGATATGGGTAAAAGCACAGATGGGTCAAATGTGTGTATTCATCCAAATCCGTGCAGCACTTTGGCGAGCCGGCTAATCTCGCAGCTCGACTCTTTGACCCGAATATTCGCAGCTGCCATGGCTGCCTTTGTCTGGCCACAGCTGACCTCCGTGTCAAGGACGAGGGCAAAAGGGCAGATTGCAATGTGCGTACAGCAGGCGACAGGTTTATATAGCTCGGTATCGGCGCTTGCGTTTCGCAGGCAACTTGTTTATGTGGTGGCCCGTTGCCGGCAGCGGCCGTGAACTGCGATTTGATAGGCATTATATCGCACGTACGTACGCCCGCGCACGCACGCGTGTATGCACGCACGCACACGCGGCATGCTTGTGGGATATGCAGCTGCGCGTGGTGCAGTGAACTTGGCAGCGAAGGTCGATGCGAGGGCAGCAGCAGCAGCAGCAGCAGCAGCAGCAGCAGCACATGTATCCGTGTCGTCTGATTATATTGAAAGTTACTGTATTCATGCAACTCTTGCTTGCTCGCAAATAGCCAGTCTGATGTAGTCCTTCTTGGGGGGGGGATGATGTTAGGGTTGGGTCGTTTGGGGAGAGGTTAATATTCTGACTGCGAGCACAAGTCTGTTATACTAGTTACTAGTACGAACAGCACACGGCAGCCCGTTATTTATTTATTTGTTTATTTTACTTTATGACGGAACACACTCCTCACAGTTAGATAATCGACTGAATATTCTACATCATAGAAAAAGTGAAGCCATTCACATTTATAACAAGATTACAATATTACATGTTCGAGTTATTTTAATGGTGTTCTTCATCTAACCATTAGCAATTCAGCTGTTTACGTGAGCCCGTGCCTAAATTGTCCCCATTTGCGCACAGCAAACGTAAATTCTCTGTTGACCTCTGCACGTAACGTTTTAATAATAGCTACCCGTGTATGCCGGCCGAGCCAATTACTTGCATATTTGGTCAATGACTGTATGAGAATAGGGGCATCACGAGCTGTAACGATGGAGAGGGGGCGATCTGTGTTGTTAGGGTGTAGTACCACCACAGTCCACCAGTAAATGTGTTATAATACATACGTCTCCGAAGGATAAAATTGCACGCACAGCGTTACGGTTCGCTTGCCAATCTCACCTCGTCAAATTAAGTATAGTGTAGGCCTACTGTGCTCGGCACACTTTGGCCAGTCACAATCTAAACAACTTAATGTGACTGCACTCGAATTTGGCTACAGACCCGTACCTAAAAAATGGTGCAGTGCCAACGATTTGTACAGAATTAAGAACCGAAACCCAAAATAAACCCAAGTGTTACTACTGAGATTCCACGGGTTATTGTGCAAAATAAGTTTATTTTTTTATGTTATTAAATATATTATTATAGACTATTAATTGTTGTTATATATTATCGTATTTTATTTAAAATTGAACGGGCGATGTGTGAAACTTGCTCATCTAATCTATTTGCGTTTTATGCAAATATTCGCTACAATTGATCTTGCATTGCTGACGTTGGAATTACTTTCGGAAGATTCGCTAGATCGGATTAGATTCGGAAACAACGCTATAATTTCTGTTGCTTTCTTTCTTCAGTCTTCGCGCATCAATCGGTGGTTTGCTCGCCACATGTAGTTAGCTCTTGCACTGGCCGCCATTTCTAAAGCTCAGTGTTTCTCGCTGCAGGGAGGCGTTAGCGTAGCCGGTGACAGCCATAGAGAGGCGATGCGACAGGAGAGGCTCCTACGGAGACTGCGGCGTACAAGCGCAGCGTCCGCCGCGGCCGACCTCTCTGCCCACGCTCGAGATCGAGCCTTCGCTGTCGATGCAGCCCCGTATAGACGCAGCGCGAAGAAAGCCGCCAGTGTCCACGAAATCAGCCGAAGTTGCGGCAGCGCGACGCCGCCAGGGGGCAGCACGCGCCCGCGTGATCCAGACGGGGCGATGTCTTCGCAGACGCCGTCGAGAGACGGGAGATATCTGCGTAGCTGTAAGTCGCTGAGCGGGCCAGCTAAGCCGTCGTCATCATCCTCATCACTGCTGCAGCGCATTCTCAGCCCGTCGCAGGACAGCGGTGGCGCCACCACGGCCGCATCACGCATCCTGGCCAACGTGGCCGCGTGCTGCCCCCGCAAGGTGGCGCCACCGTCGTCGCCGATGCTGCAGCACATCCTCGCGCAGCGCGGCGACGAGGCGAACGGTGGCGCCCTCGCCGACTCGCCCGCAACCTCGCTGCTGCAGAGCATCCTCTGCGCCGCGAGAGAGGGCGCCGGTGAGGCATCACGCACCACCGGAGGAGGCGCCACTGTAGCGTCGCCCGCGACTCACTCGAGCGATGGTCGCCGCGGCACGGCACGAACGTGGACAAGCAATCTCCAGAAGCTGCTGATGGATCCCGTGGCTTCCTCCTCCTCTTCCTCATCCTCGTCGTCAGCTGCCGTCAGCTTCGCGGCGAGGGGATGCTCACCCGTGCTCAAATCCCTGCTGACCGGTGGTGGCGGCAGCGGCGGCGGCGGCATTACGGCCACGCAGCACAGCCGGTCACTCGCAACGACCCCGCTCGATCGCACGCCGGACGACGCGGGACAGCTGCTCGAGTGCGTGCTCTGCAGTTCCAAGTTTGTCACCCAGGAGGCGCTCTTTCTCCACTCCGTCTCGCTGCAGTGCGTCAAGGGCGATATGGCGATGGACGCTGCCGCCGCCACGGCTCCCTCTCCGGTCCCGGACTCGCTGCGTTGCCGCGACGACGACCCACGCAACCCTTCGCTGCCGTCGCCAGCAGCCACTCTCGGGGGCAGCCACAAGGGGGCGCCGCAGCAGCCGACCAGCCACGAGGGGGCGCCGCAGCAGCCAACCAGCCACGAGGGGGCGCCGTCAAGCTCACAGTTACGCGTCGTCGACACGTTCTCGATAAAGCAGGAGCGCGTTGACCCCGACGATTATGCGTACGGTGACCCAGGGGTCGCACCGTCGCTGCGTCGGCTGCTAGACGCATCCGCGGCGACAGTGTCGCGTCTACCTGAGCCGGATGCGTGGCCGCCCGCCGCCCCCGCAGTCCGGGTCAAGGTCGAGCCAGGGGTCACGGGGATGACGGGCGCACCGAACCTGCTCGCGATTCTGCGAGCAGGCGAGTCTGAGACGCAGCGAGGCATGGGCGAGACGCAGCGAGGCGTGGGCGAGATGCAGCGAGGCGTGGGCGAGACGCATGCGAGGCGCCACGACACGATTGCTCGCTAGGTATGGGGACGCTGTCACCAGCAGGCGGTCAGGAGAGCAGCAGTAGCTGGGGGTTGCGCACTGAGACAGTGCAGCCAAAGGAAGAGTCTACAGAAAACTGGTCTCCGGTCCAGTCAAAGGAGGAGCCCACAAAGAACTGGTTATCGATCAATCCACAGGAGCCTGGAGAAAACTGCTCACCAGTCCAGCCAAAGGAGGAGCCCATAGAGAACTGGTCGCCGACCAATCCACAGGAGCCTGGAGAAAACTGGTCTCCAGTCCAGCCAAAGGAGGAACCCATAGAGAACTGGTCATCGACCAATCTACAGGAACCGATCAGACCGAAACCATCACATCTACTCAGTCACCTTCTCAGCGGCACCTTTGATGCCCCGCCGGCGCCCCCTGCCCACGGCGGCTACCCGCCGATGATGTGTGGCCGCTGCGGGCGCATGTTCACGCGTGGTTCGGCGTTCAGCAACCACCAGAAGGCGTGTCTCACGTCGGGGCGTCAACGCACGCAGCACGCCAACACTGCCATCTGCACCATGTGCGGCCACCAGTTCGCAAACGCCACCGCGCTCGCCAACCACCAGAGGACGTGTGGGTTGGAGCGGCAGACGGCCGTGCCACACGAAGCGACGTTTGCGTGCTGCCACTGTGGCTGGGCGTCAAAACGCGCCTCATCGTTCACCTACCACATGAAGACGTGTGCTCTCGCGAACAGCGCTGCCGGCGGCGACGGCAGCAGTGGCGACGATGCGATGCAGTGCGACATTTGCAAGCGCCGCTTCGAGGACTTGATGGGGTTGATGGAACACCGGCGCAACCTCTCGTGCATGCAGGAGTAACCGGCGGCGCGGGCGTCTCTCTCAATCCACGTCGCCACACCGACATGAGAGGGTACGCACAGGGAGGTCTTGGCCTCTGTCCAGGCTGTGTGTGTGTCATTCTTGTAGGATCCGTCGATAGACTGTCTGTACATTTTTGCGTTATAAAATCAGGTTAACGTAGAGCAATCATTTATGGTGCTGTGATTATGTGTCTACCAAGACCTAAAGTCTATCCTTTGGCTGCGAATGAGGGCCTGCATGGTATGCTCGTGCGACTCTGATGCCATTCTATCACTGTGAGAAATTTATGGTAGTTTGTGCTGCGTATGCCTGTGAGTCATGCTGTGTCTTAGGTTCATTTAGTGTTTCTCTATAAAATAAAAACAATGCAGATAGATATGATGTAGATAGCAGTTTGTTTAGAGAACATAACTAGCTGTTCGCAGTTGATATGTTTGCGTAGTTAGCCTGAACTCGCCAATTGCCAATTCAAATTATTTATTACCCCATTTGAAAAGTATTGTTGGGTGCATTTCACCTGGTCGCAGTACGCGGGGTTGCTGTGAGTTGATTGTTTAGGGTGTGTATTGTCACCACTCACAGAATGTACGGAGCTACAGGGCAGCTTCACTTCATGGCCGGTCCATGAAAGACTAGACGCAGCGTTAGGGAGTGGACTAAGACCAAGTCGCATCGTGCAGGTTTATGATTTGTTGTGTGTTTACTCGAGTAGGTGTAAATAAATGGCAACATTGACCTGTTGTATAACGTGTTGAGATTTGCTGAAATGCTGTGTGCGTATCTTGGCAATTGTTTACACACAAAAATAGCCACATCGATTTGCAGAAACGTCCTCGGTCGCCGTTGACCCTTACACGTGAAAACCAGCCCTATATGACCGTACAGCCAGCAAACAAACATGCCGGTGCTGCCTGTTAATTGGGCGGTGTTAGTACGCATGCATGCGTGTTTTATCTCCATGTTATGCTGCCGTTATAAATGGAATCTTGCAGTGTTGTACCCTTTGAAAGTTACCGTAACATATTCTTTAGTCGATTCATAAATAGGCCCTCCGTGATTATAGAGATTGTAAGCTGCATGTAATCAATTTTGTATATATTTGTGATTTTGATTTGGCTAATTTAATAAATATATTCATGTTTTCAATAAACATTCATCTTGATCTTCTATAGTTTGAACCTGACCTTTTATTGAGTTACTTTCTTACTCAGTGCCTTACCATAGCTCTAGCAATTAAGTCTTATTTTCCAAAGGATACGTTCCTAATTCGGTACACTGTCACTGTGCTGATGGACAATTAGATTCAATAATGTTATTTCTTGACCGGCCGCGCTCCGGGCATGGAAGAAATACATAGTTACATAATACAAATAGAAATCATGTTTGGCAACATTTGACAAACAATTAAATAAACATCAAGAATTAACAAATAACTATAGTACCCGATGTTACCTGACACCATAGATACTATATCTACATAATTATTATGGTGCATTTACAGGCCCGTACCCAGGGGGGGTTCGGTGGGGTTCGCACGAACCCCTTCCGAGCACCCCCGTGCAAAAAAAAAACCGCAGTGCGTGTACGAATATATGCAAACGCACATGCTTGCATAAGCACACGCACGCACATCCACACGCGCACACATGCGCACGCGCACTCACACAGGCGCGCTCTCACACGCGCGCACGCACTCACACAGGCGCACGCACTCGTGTACGCGCAGCTATATATGCGCGCACGCACTCACTCACGCACGCACGCACGCACGCACACACACATACACACTCTCTCTCTCCCTTTCTCTCTTTTTCTCTCTCTCCTCATCCTCTTCGCTTCCTCTCACTCCCGTCTCCCTCTGATCTATCTCTCTATCTCATCTCTCTCTCTACTCCTGTTCCTACTCTCTCTCTCTCTCTC